GTCCTGTGACTGTTGTTTCTCTTACCAGTCCTGCGATTCTTATTGTTTGTTTACTGAAATAATTTGCCTTCCAAATAAGAAAGAAAAAAACTGTATCTGAGGAGTAAATTAAATTATCAGGCCCAAAGAGACATTTAAAATGTGACAGCAGTCATAGCTGATAAAAGAAAAACTTCAGCTGAATTGAATTTAAAGTAGTTTAATTGAGCAATGATTGATTCGTGAATCCAGCAGCCCCCAGAATCACAGCAGATTCACGGAGACTTCCACACAGCCACATGGTAGAAGAAGATTTACGGACCAAAAAAGGGAAATGAGGTACAGAACAGCTGAATTAGCTACAGCTCAGTATTTCCCTTACTTGAACATAGATTGAGCACTCAGCAGTGTATGAATGGTTGAAGGACGGCTGCTGGGATTGACTAAGACTCAGCTATTGTTACAGGTACATACTCCTAAGTTAGGGCTTCAGTCTTGTCTCTCTGTTAAGGTAGGTTGCAGTTCGTCCACAAGGACTCAAATATAGAAGTACAGAGTCCTTCTCAGGCCATATGTAGTTTGCTTTTACACTGCTTACTCACTGTCTTCAGCTGATTACTTCTTGAAGTCACTTGCTAGGTGGGGTCTAGACTAACTGAAGGCAAGTAGCCTTAAAATGCCACACACTGGACATCATAACTCACGCCCTATAATTCAAGAGTGTGTCAAAATCAAAGATGTAGAGATGAATCTCTAAATTCAATGTCTTATTTGGGAAGAAAGAGTTGCAATTTGGAGCACACACACGCAGACCCAGTGGTCTTTGATATGTCCCAGGAACAAAGACAAAAGTCAGAGGTTTTATGAAAAAGGAGAAATGGCCTGAATTGCTCTTTGAGAAAGTTCCTCAGCACTCTGAGGGTTTGGGGAGCTGCCAAGCTCTGATTGTTGAGCAACAACCATGGGCAGATTCTCTGAGAAGCTAGAGATAAAACTGGTTTCCAGTTACAACAAGCAGTTTCAGCAGGTGGGCTTGCAGAGGATGGTTACAGGCTCACCAGCGCACCACAGTATAGCAGCCTCGTGTTGCTCAGGTAGTACCCTGAGTCCTACCCCAAGTTCTTTGTCTGACGACCAAGAAAGTTAACGAATGTGGACACCAAGAGTGAGGTTGGAGCGAAAGTTTAATGAGCAAAAGAAGAAAGCTGTCTGCCACAGAGAGGGGTCCTGGAAAAATGGGTTGCTGATTCACAGTTTGGATGCAGAGGCTTCTGTAAGAAACCCATATGGGGCTGGGTGTCTCATTTGCATGAGGCATGCATTTCTGGTAGTTCCACCATCCTCCTGGTACACATGCAGGCTCTTAGCTTGAGTTACTCTATGTTGCTTTGTTTCCCTTCTGTACATGTGTCAGGGGATGGAATTTTCCATTGCAGGCACATCTGGCCAAGTCACCTGTGTAGCCTTTCTTGTCTGTCTTAGGGAAGCCTCCTGGGCAAGTTCCCTTATTTGTACCTGTGACTTGATTTCTCTGGCTGTTCTTTTGTTTGAAAGAATTTAATGGAGGACTCACCCTAACTGTCTGCCTGACTAGTTTCTTCCTTTCTCCTCTCTCAGAATTACATTCTTGGAGCTAAAAATGCTCAGTGCTGCAAAGTGGAACCAACACTCAGGCAAAAGTTTTCTCAGCAAAACAATTTACTTCTTCTTTTTTTTTTTTTTTTTTTTGAGGCGGAGTTTCGCTCTTGTTACCCAGGCTGGAGTGCAATGGCGCGATCTCGGCTCACCGCAACCTCCGCCTCCTGGGTTCAGGCAATTCTCCTGCCTCAGCCTCCTGAGTCGCTGGGATTAGAAGGTGTCTCCTGCATGCAAGGAAGAGGCATGGGAGAGCTCACAGAACAAAGAACAGCAATTTTTATCCCTAATGCAGACCCTGTTCCTGTGTCCTCCCCCGTGGGCTGGGGTTGGACCACACAATCTAGGCTGATTCTGATAGGCTACTGTTGACATCATCAAGGGGGCAAGGGTGGGCTTTTGACAGGAAGGACAGTTACTGGGTGACAGGTAATGCTTGGGCATGTTTGGTCACAGCAGAGATAGGGAGGGCTGATGGATAAATGGATAAGATTACTTTTTTGAAGAGAACAAAGAAATATAGACTGAAACCCTTTGAAGAGAAGCTATTTGTTCTTAACAACAGAGCAATATTTTGAACCTTCGATGTTTTTCCCTTCGCTTCTCCACTCGGTTTTAATTGGGTATAGAGTCAACTCAGATGATCAACTTCCACAGATGTGTAGCTGTTCCTGGACAGAACGAGGTCCAGCTGCTAGCTTGTTCCCATGGTCCAATAATAAGATGCATACACACTGGGAAAGAGGGAGTTTGTTTCTGCAACCCATTGTGGGAGAAGGTTGGAGTTACTCACAAGACTCAAAGTTGCAAGTTATTTTCTAGTGCTTATATACATTTAAAGCTCCATGCTACGTGTGGGATTGTACCTACAAACAGGAGTCTTTTAGTCTGTATCTAATCTTTAGGGACTAGGGTCTGAAAAGCTTTTCCTAGGGTCTTGGAAAGTTTCTTAATCTTAGTGGGCCCTGGTGTGAGGCGTATGTGATTATTATTCAATCAGGCTTTAGGGTCGGAAAAAACCCCGGCGGGGTCTTAATGGGTTTCTTTTCGCATTCCAGCCCTTGCACTCACACACTGGTTTCTCTAGTTCTTTGATGCTTAACTTAGGCATTCATCAAAATTATAGTAAAGGGTTAGTGGAAACCCTGTTCTGGTTGCTAATGGAAACGTGGCCTGCCACCTACCAATCACTAACCAGTATTACTTCTGTAAACCAGAGAGAATTCCTGTCAGATGACTTTCCATCAGCCCATTCCTAGTTTCCTTTCATTTTTAAAATCTTGCTTGTAACAAAGGCCACAGAGAGCATACCCACGGGTGAAGTGGAAGTGTATCCTGGGCTGCAAGTCCTCAATAAAGTATGTTAATTTTGCCTTAGCTCCTTCCACTAGGTCAACAAACAGGTCTTACCTTCTGGTTCATAATTTTAATTGCTTTACCATTTTACTCTCTGTTCTAGGAAATATTCTTGCCTTTTGATGCAACAATTTCATTTTGAAAGGCTGTAAATTTACTGCAAATCATTGAATCGTTACAACATGTGAATCTGATGCTATGCAATTGTCTTAGTGCATTTTCTGTTGCTTATAACTGGATATTTGAAAGGGGGCTCAATGTGCTGTCTCAGGCCTCTCTTCCACTTCTTATAAAGCCACTAGTCCCAGTCCCATCAGAATCCATTAATTCATTAACCCATTAGCCCATGGATGGATTACTCCATTCATGAAGGTGGAACCCTCATGACCCAACGACTTCTTAAAGGCCCACCTTTCAATATTGCCACATTGGGGATTGCATTTCAACATGAGCTTCAGAGGAGACAAACGCTCAAACCGTAGCAATAATTATACCTTAAGAAAGTGGTTTAAAAAAAAAAACTGTTGGCAAAGCTGTGGGGCAACGATTGCCAACATTGAAAAGTTGAGCAAGGCCACAGATATTAGGTATATGTCTCCTTATAGTTGGTCCAGAACCGATCACTGTTACCTGCAAGAGGGTGTCTAATAAAAGGTATACTTGACTATTATCAGAAATAAAACTCCCAGGATGGGGAATTGGTAATTCCAGTTGAATTGGCAAGCCAGTTAAAATTACCAGACCTGAGTAACAGAACAAATACATTTACACAAATAAATACGTTTGTCTGTGACTCAGTGCATTTATTTACTGGGGCTGATGTAACAGCAGACACAGACTGGGTGGTGTCAACAGTAGAAGTGTTTTATCTCATGGTTGTGGAGGCTAGAAGACCAAGATCAAGATGTCAGCAGGGTGGGTTCCTTCTGAGTCCTCTCTCCTTGGCTTGTTAACAGTGTTATTCTTCCTGTGTCCTCACTGGTTGACCCTCTGTGTGTGTCTGTGTCCTCATCTTATAAGGGCACCAGTCCTGTTGTTGGATTAGCGCCCACCTGTATGCTCTTATTTAACTTAAATTACCTCTTAAAGACCCGCTCTCCAAATACAGTCACATCCTGAGGTACTGGCAGTTAGAACTTCAGTGTATGAATTTGGGATGGGGGCACACAGTTCAGCCTTAACACAGTGATATGGTTTGTATTTGTGTCCCCACCCAAATCTCATGTCGAGCTGTAATTCCTAATGTTGGAAGAGGGGTTTGGTGGGAGGCGATTAGATCATGGGGGTAGAGATCCCCCTTGCTGTTCTCGTGATGGTGAGTTCTCATGAGATCTAGTTGTTTATAAAAGTGTGTAGCGCTTCCCCCTTCTCTCTCTCTCCTGCTACAACAATGTAAGATGTGCCTTGTTTCCCCTTCGCCTTCCACCATAATTGTGAGTTCCCTGAGGCCTCCCCAGCCACGCTTCCTGTATAGCACACAGAACCGTGAGCCAATTAAACCTCTTTTCTATATAAATTACCTGATCTGAGGTACTTCTTTATAGCAGTGTGAGCACGGACCAATGCAGGAAACTTTTAAAAGGTTAGAAGATGAGATTAAGATAAAATAGAAACTAGATAGGCAGAATGGAAACCAGAAAAAACATATTCCATTCTTTTTGAGGAAGGTGAACTGATGAAAAAGCCCTTTGAGACCGTGGCTGGTGCACACGAGGACAGTGATAGCCATGTGCCCACTCTTGGTTCTGACCCTTAAATGGTAAAGTAGGAAGCACCTCCGGTTGAAGCTGCTCTCAGGTGGTTTCCTCTGAGCAGCTTCTCCATGGAGCATATTACTGTATAGTCTCATGTCCTCAGCTGGATGGCTCCTTGTGGGCAAAGATCCCAATGTGAACTGTGTTTGCATTTTCCAGTTGCTGGCAGCATGCCTTTCTAGTGGCTGCTTCTCAATGAATATGAACAGCGTCCGTCTCCATGTGCTGCCATGATGAAATTCACAGAACCTTCCTGATGTGCTTTGTGTTTTCCAGAGGCCTTCTGAGTGATGCTTTCCAGAAAGGCGGCCCGGAGGGTCCCACTGCTCGCCTCATGAGAGGGGAGATCACGTTTTCCCAGGTGAGGGGATGTCACCACACAGAGCCCTTTGGATGGACATTTTCACCTGCAGGGCCATGTCTTCTTCACCCATCTTCCCCTTACAATGCCTAACCCCCAAGACTGACCTAAAAGGCCTGGAGACGTACAAAAAGGCATTTAAGACTGGCTTGTCATCTCTTTGGCCAACCAGAGGGAAATTTCCAGTTCTTCCAAGATGTATGCCAGGGAGCTACGACAGACAGAGTGACTATTTTTGGGCAGGGCTGCTGGATCTGTTCGTTTAATAGCCAGATAATGGATAGACTTGGAGTCAGAAGTCAGGGTTTGAATCATAGCACCCACTTACAGGCTGTATGAGCACAGCAACTTACTTCACTTCTCCAAGTCTCAGATTTGCCAACTTTACGACAGAGGTTGTCATGCTACCCATTTCATCAGCTGCTGTGAAGCATGGAAAGTGCTTAGCACCATGCCTGGCACATAGTAATTGCTCAATAGACAGTAGTTAATATGGTTAGTATAATCTCGAATATTTTTAACAAAATAATCAGGATCTAACACCACTTGAATTTCCAATTAGTGTCTCTCTAAGAAGAAAGGCTATTGAGAATCTACTTATAAGCACACAGATAAAACATTCTGTATTTTTCAAAACTTCTATGAATTATAGCCAGGCTTCACTCAGTCAGAGTACTTGGGGCCCACCGTAACAGCAAACACTCATCTTTTCTGTGAAGGCAAATGTAATATTAATGGTAGCATTGTAGTCACTTTAAAACATACATGCTAATATGTTGTGGCAACTGGTGAACGAAAACTGTGATGAGACTATTGGGAAGAACATTACTGAATTATTGACTTTTTATTTAATCCATTAAAAAACCTCAGTAGTATTGTTGGAAGGTAAGGAAGAGGGAATGCTATATATTTTCTTCTTCATCCTCCTCCTCCTCCTTCTCCTCCTCCCTTTTGAGACAGGGTCTTACTCTATTGCCTAGGCTGGAGTGTGGTGGCACGATCACGGCTCCTGTAGCCTTGACCTCCTGGGCTGTGGTGATCCTCCCATATCAGCCTCCCAAGTAGCTGGGACAATAGGGACAAATCACCATGCCCAGCTGTTTTTTTGTATTATTATTGACAGAAATGTGGTTTCACCATGTTACCTAGACTGATGTTGAACTCCTGGGCTCAAACAATCCACTCACCTTGGTGTTCCAAAGTGCTAGGATTACAGACATGAGCCACCATGCCCAGCCTATATTTTCAATGAACATACAGATTTTAGAGCAAATTTCTAGTAATTGCTATGAAAATCCTGCATTTCATTCAGGCTCCTTGAGTGGCTTCTGATAGATGTGTAACTTCTAGGAAACTGGCATGGCTAGAGGGAAGAAGCCTGGAAGACTAATCTGTATCAAGCAAAGGGCTATTTACATTTGACTTGTCTTTAAAAAAATGTCTTATCTTGGGATTGAATATCATCTTTTAACTTGTTGTGTATGTATACTATACAGACAGAAAAGTACACACAGCGTACAGCTTGATGACTCTTCAGATACTGAGTATACTAATGTCACCAGCACCCAGATCAAGAAAATGAAACATTCCCAGCACTGTAGGCACCCACATATCCGCACTCTGGACACCATCCCTCCAAAAGTATTACCATTCTGACTTCCATCCCAATAGATCGCTTTTACTTGTTTTGGACTTTACATAAATGGAATTGTGCAGATCATCTCTTTTGTGGTCTGGCATCTTTTGCTCAACATTTATGGGTGAGACTCATAGCTGCTGCATGCAGCCATGGATCCTCTTATTCTCATTGCTGCATGGCATTCCGTCATGTTCATATACCCCACTCTATCCTTTCTTCTATTGATGGGGGCCTGGGTAGTTTTCAGTTTGGCACCATTACAAACAGTGCTGCAATGATGATGTGTATCTACCACAATCCATCCTGCTATTAGTGAGTGTATTCATTTGCTAGGGATGCCTCTTATACAGCACCTTGGGCTGCTACCTACAACAAACGTGCCATAGACTGTGTGACTTAAACAGCAAACATTTATAGCTCACAGTTCTGGAGGCAGGGAAGTCCAAGATGAAGGCACCAGCAGGTTCAGTGTTTGGTGAGGGCTCTCTTCTTGGTTTGCAGATAGCCACCTTCTTGCTGTATCCTTACATGGGAGAAAGCAGAGAGAGAGAAAAAAAAAAAAAAAGCAAGTCTTGGCTATCTTCTCCCTGTGTCTTCACATGGTCATCCGTCTGTGTGTGTCTGTGTCCTCATCTCTTCTTATGTAGGCCACTCATTACTGGATTAGGATTCATTGTAATGACTTCATTTTCCCTTAAGTACTTCTTTAAAGGCCTGATTTCCAAAGATAGTCACATCATGAGGGTCTGAGGGTTAGGAGTTCAACACAGGAATTTTGGGGAGGACACAGTTTAGCCCATAACAGTGGACATTTGGGTAGTTTCCAGTTTGGAGCTTGCTATGGTGCAAGTGTTTGTGTCCCCCCAAAAATTCCTATGTTGAAATCCTAACCCCAGAAGTGATGATATTAGGAGTTGGGCCTTCAGGAAGTAATTAGGTTATAAGGGTAGACCCCTCAGGAGTGAGATTAGTGCCCTTATAAAAGAGATCCCAGAGAGCTATTGAGTGCCTTCTACATGTGAGGACAGCAAGAAGGTGCCATCTGTGAGATAGAAGGCAGGCCCTAACAAGACACCAAATCTGCTGGAGTCTTGATCTTGGACTTCCCAGCCTTCAACACTGTGAGAAATAAATTTCTGCTGTTTATGAGCCACCCAGCCTCTGGTCTTTTGTTATAGCAGCTGAGATGGGCTAAGACAGGGTTCTTAGGAATAGCACTGCTATGACTGTGGGTGAATATAACATGCTCTACCCATTCTGCTGTTAGTGGACAATAGCACTGCTATGACTGTGGGTGAATATCACACACTCTACTCATTCTGCTGTTAGTGGGTTGTTTCTGGTTTAGGACTCCTAGGAAGAGCACAGCTATGAACATTTTTAGCCATGTCTTTTGGAGAACATATGTTGGCATTTCCAGTGGGTATATGTCCAGGAATAGAATTGCTTGGTCACAGGGAATGCACAGGTTTGGGTTTAGTAGACCCTGCAGAGCTTTGCTGAGTGGCCGTACCAATTGTCCCCTCACTTCACTTTGACAGTGGGTACCACTCATGGAAGAAAACTGCAGGAAGTGTGCCGAGACCTCTGGAATCTCCCTGCCTGAGAATTTCTCTGTCAGTCAAATCTTTGGCAAGGCAATTTCAGCCAGAAAGATCAACCGCCCCATGCTCCAGGCAGCTCTCACGCTCAGAAAGAAAGGTAAGGATCTGATACTGGCCAATCTCAGGCCTGACCACACAGAACCCTCGGAAGCATTAGGTCAGAATCCAACGAAGTGAGTTTTGACATCACAGATCTTTTGAGCCATGATGGAAAGCCGTTCTTAAAACATGGCTCCAAAGCAAGTTTTATCCAATGCAAAAGCAGCACTGGTTAAAATAGAATTACTGGAAAAATGGCAGAATTTTACTTAATAAAGCAGTTGATGCCCATGACTGCCTTGTGAGCATCATTCTTCCCTTCAGTGGCTCTTTAGTAATGACCTGAATGACACAATCTTTTGTCACAGTGATTAAAAAACAAGGCCTTTTTAGCAACTGTGATTCTCTCAGCCTTTGCGTATCAGAGTGTCTGAGCTATGAGTTGGCTGACGTGGGCTCAGATGATGTCATATAGTCTAAGACAAGAGGTCAAGTTCTTCCATAGGCGTTGACTCGGGGTGAGCACCTGACTCTTGTCATAGGCATACTTGAAACCATTCCACCCTCTTATCAGTAGATTTATCCAGCTGTGGCTGAGCCATTCCGTGTCTGTAATTCCTGCCTCCTATTACATGGGAAGAGTCTCACCATCAACTATTCAGTGTCTTGTTTCCAGAACTGCCTGGTTCTCACCCTCACTCACTAGGCAGATAAAGCTGGGGGATAATCCATCTCTATGTCTACTTCTTTAGTTTTGAAATGGGAACCCAGTCCCTGATAGCCAAAGCAAAGTATTCTGGAATTTAGTCAAGCAGAGTTTTCAATAGCACGGACTAGAAAGAATGCTGGATTTTCACTGTGTGGCTCTGGGCGGCTTGTAACTGATCTGAGCTTCTGTTTGCTGATCTGTGAATCTGGGAGGGTGGGATCACCTTGCCCACCCCAGAGGTGGTAGAGATCAAATGAGCTGATGAATGTAAAAACACTGCTCCACTGTTGTCAAGGAGGAAGGAGGGTACTGTCCCCATCTGGGCCTCTGAAGGCCTTGAATGAACCCAGCTCATGTTCGTGTCTGTGTCAGAGATGTTTATGGGTCAAGATGATTCTTTGCCAATTCGTTGGTTGAAAGCTGAGCGTAAGGGATTGATATAAGTGAGCATGACCTGCTTGGCCCATCATTGGGGTTCCCTGGGGGCATCTGGAGCATCTCAGGGCGAAGTTATGTAGCTGGTCCATCCGCTGGTGGCTTTTTGCTCAGGATTCACAACCGCCATCCTCACCAACACCTGGCTGGACGACCGTGCTGAGAGAGACGGCTTGGCCCGGCTGATGTGTGAGCTGAAGACGCACTTTGACTTCCTGATAGAGTCATGTCAGGTGGGAATGGTCAAACCTGAACCTCAGATCTACAAGTTTCTACTGGACACCCTGAAGGCCAGCCCCAGTGAGGTACAGAGACACTTCCCTATAGCGGAGAAGGATGTTCAGAGATATTGCAACCAGAGAAAAACTGAGGAGTGAGCAGGCGGGGTATATCTCAGGCCTGGCAGGACAGCTCTGGGTCCCCTTCTCCCAGACCAGGGCTTCTCCTAAACAATTTTTACCCGTTCTTTGATCTAGAAAATTCTCCCAGAGTTGGGCATTTGGCCCCATTGTATAGCTCTTATAGAACTTTTATCAAAACAGGCATCATCAAAAGCTGTTTTAGCCCAGCTGCCTCAGTTTACTTACAAAGAAATGGGGATCTGGGAGACGTGCAAGGCCACAAGGCTAGTCAGGTTCATCCCCACAAAAGGTGGGTGAGGACAGGCTCCAGTATTGCCATGGTCTCTCCCACCAGACACCCTGTGCCCTGAGCCTATCCCCAGAGATCACCTATCCTAAAGCTCTCTTCTCCTTGTGTGTCCCTACTCTCATCTGCAAAAGGTGATTCGACTGAGGTTAAATTCCTTTCCCTCACATTTCCAACCCCCACCTCCCAACAAACTGATCAGAGCAAACCCTGGACTCTAGCCTCGGAGTCCTCGCCATGCTCCATCCCGGGACTTCCCTTTTCTCCTCCTGGACTTTGCTTCTGCTTATCTCAGTGCCTGGAGCCAGCCTCAGAGCAGGGCTCCAAATCTAAGCCTGCACCGGAATATATCAGTCTTCCTATCGATGGCTTCCAGGTTGGATGAGCTGCTTAGAATTCTAGACTTCCATTGTCCAAGATGGTAAATGCATGCACCCATGATTTCTACTATGAATTCCAGGATTTTTCTGTCTATGTATTTATTTATTGTTTAACTAATTATTTTTACTTAGAGACAGAGTCTCACTTTGTCACGCAGGCTGGAGTGCAGTGGTGCGATCATAGCTCACTGCAGCCTCAAACTCCTGAGCTCAAGTGATCCTCCTGCCTCAGCCTCCCAAGTAGCTGGGACCACAGGTTCATGCCACCATGCATGGCTAATTTTTTATTTTTCATTGCGACAAGGATCTCACTATATTGTCCAGGCTAGTCTTGGACTCCTGGTATCAACCAATCCTTCCAGTCTCCTAAAGTGCTGGGATTACAAGTGTGAGCCACGAAGCCTAGCACTTTCTTTCTTACTACATATACATTTTTGATTCATTAAGAATCTGGCTGAGCACGGTGGTGCACACCTGTAATCCCAGCACTTTGGGAGGCTGAGGTGGGTGGATCACAAGGTCAAGAGATTGAGATCATGTTGGCCAACAAGGTGAAACCCCTTCTCTATAAAAACACAAAAATTAGCTGGATGTGGTGATGTGCACCTGTAGTCCCAGCTACTTGGGAGACTGAGGCAAGAGAATCACTTAAACCCAGGAGGCAGATGTTGCAGTGAGCTGAGATTGCGCCACTGCGCTGCAGCCTAGTCATAGAGCAAGACTCCGTCTCAAAAAAACAAAAAAGAATCTATTTGGGGGTAAGATGTAAAGTAAGGATCCATTTTATTCCCCCGACTGTTAACCAGTCATACCAAGACCGTTAAACAATCTTCCTTACCAATTGGACATGAAACTTTTCTCAGAAACTAAATTCTTATTTGTATTTGGGTCTGTTTCATAGATAAGTCTGCTTCTTTTCTAGTGCCAAATTTCTGCCTTTTGTCACTTCCTAAATTGTTTGACTCCCTGCCCTCACTACAGTTTTTTTTCCCAGATACATTTTTTTGGTCTACTTATGCCTGTTGATTTTCCCAGATGAATTTTAATGTCACCTTGATCAGTGTGTATCCTCCCCTAATACTCTTACAATTTCAGAAGTAGCTGAGGCCAGTAGGTCTGTGTGGGGTCATATGTATCTGTGTTTTCATGTGTATGTTATGTAATTAAATGCTTTCCATTTTAAGAGTAGATGGTTACAAAAGAAAAGGAGTTTTCAATCTCATAAAGTAGCTCCTGTTTGCATTCTGGTGAGTTTCTTTCTGGGATTCTCCCATGCTGTTTTGGGCTCAGGTCGTTTTCTTGGATGACATCGGGGCTAATCTGAAGCCAGCCCGTGACTTGGGAATGGTCACCATCCTGGTCAAGGACACTGACACGGCCCTGAGGGAACTGGAGAAAGTGACCAGAATCCAGGTAACTTGACTTTGAAGTGAGCAAGGTTCCCATGCTCATCTGTGGTTTCTGGACTTGAGTGGAGAAGCCACTGTCCATGGAGTTCATTGCTCCATGAATGACACCTGGGTGCCACTCCGGGGTTGGGAGTCTGTCACCCCCTGTGCAGTCGGCATGATGTCCCTAAGGAGCATTGCTTCTTTCTCTGTAGTCACTGAACAGGGTAACAAGAATTTATACTAGTCTTGGGTCAGGGCCGGGGAACTGGCAGCAAGAGTGGGATGTTCAAGGCCATCTTAACCTCACTTTTGAGAGTAAATGGAGAATGTTTACCCTAAGGGTCAAGGCCCCTACCTGGCATGCCCGAGCATGCCGCTGGCACTCAGGTACAGCCCTTTAGTTCCACCCAGCTCACACCCTCTTGGCAGTCAGAGGGAAGCCTCTTAAGAAAAGCCTTTCCCTCCCGAGGTGGATGGGACAGCTGTCATGATGTCCCTGGGGCTACCTGGGGATTAGCCTGCTCCTCCACGTCTGAGGCACCTTTCCTTTTTTGGGTCGACCTAAGATCACTGACCTCACCAAGTCCACAGCCTTCTGCAGGAGTGCAGCCCCCTCATCCTGTGAGCGCAGGGGAGAGGAGGCAGGAGAGAGCTGGTACTCAGCTGAGCCTGCCACACATCCAAGGATGCACAGCCATTGCCTCAAAGAGAACTGGGTTAGTTTGCTCAGGCTGCTGTAACAAAGTACTGCAGACTGTGTGGGTTCAACAACAGATATATATTCTCTCACTGTTCTGGAGGCTGGAAGTCCAAGATTAAGGTGCCAGCAGGGTTGGTTTCTCCTGAGGCCTCTTTCCTTGGCTTGCAGACAGCCGCCTTCTCCCTGTGTCCTCACATGGCTTTTCCCTGTGACTTTCTGCTTCCTAACCTCCTCTTTTTATGAGGACACCAGTCAGACTGTGCTAGGGCCCAGACTAATGACCTCCTTTAACCTTAGTTACTTCTGTAAAGGCCTCATCTCCAAATACAGTCACATTCTAAAGTATTGGGGCTAAGGCCTGGTGCAGTGGCTCATGCCTATAATCCCAGCACTTTGGAGGCCAAGGTGGGCAGATCAGTTGAGATCAGGAGTTCGAGACCAACCTGGCCAACATGGCTACACCCTGTCTCTACTAAAAATACAAAAAATTAGCCGAGCGTAGTGATAGGTGCCTGTAATCCTAGCTACTCGGGAGGCTGAGTCAAGAGAATAGCTTGAATGCAGGAGGTGGAGGTTGCAGTGATCCAAGATCACACCACTGCACTCCAACCTGGGCCACAAGAGCAAAACTCTGTCTCCAAAAAAAAAAAAAAGTATTGGGAGCTAGGACTTTAACATGCAAATTTTGAGAGTGATACAGTTCAGCCTATGACAAGATTAATTTATATTTTTTGTCTTTAATGAATAAATTAAAATATACACCCAATTGCTTCATAACCTTAAAGCATCTTGCCCACACTTTGTTCATTTGTCCTTCTACAGACCTGCACGTCCCAGGCCACAGAGAAGAAAGCGCATCAGGCTTGAGGTCAGGGAACCCATGTGCCTGTAACACTTGCTAGGTCTGTGCCCTCATCGTATCTGAGTCACAGATCCCTGTCCTGTGAAACTGGGAAAGTCAATCATGGCTCATTTCTTTTTGTCTCAGGGGTAGGAGGAAGACAAAGATAGAAGGAAAAATGAACAGCATCCCCTTTTAGTCTGTTTTTTTTTTTTTTTTTTTTTATTGTGGGGAAATACATGTAACATAAAATTTACCATCTTTGCCGGGTGCAGTGGCTCATGCCTGTAATCCTAGCACTTTGGGAGGCTGAGGCAGGTGGATCACCTGAGATCAGGAGTTCGAGACCAGCCTGATCAACATGGAGAAATCTCATCTCCACTAAAAATACAAAAAAAAAAAAAAAAAAATAGCTAGCTGGGGGTGGTGGCACATGCCTGTACCCCCAGCTACTCAGGAGGCTGAGACAGGAGAATCGCTTGAACCCGGGAGGTGGAGCTTGCAGTGAGCCAAGATTACGCCATTGCACTCCAGCCTGGGCAACAGAGTGAAACTCCACCTCAAAAAAAAATTACCATCTCTCTGTGTGTGTGTGTGTATGTGTGTGTGTGTGTGTGTGTGCGCGCACGTACAGTTCAGTGATGTTAAGAACACACGCATTGTTATACAGCTGTCACCACCATTCCCCTCCAGAACTTTTTCATCTTCCCCACATCAAACTCCGCACCCATTAAACACCAACTCTCCATTCCCACTGCCCCGGCTCCTGGCAACTCCCATCCTGCTTTTTTCTTTATGAATTGGACTCCTCTAGGGACCTCATATAAGTGGAATCACAATATTTGTCTTTTTGTAACTGGCTTATTTCACTTAGCATAATGTCTCCAAGGTTCACCCATATCGCCCCAGGAGTCTGAATGTCCTTACTTTTTAGGGCAGAAGACTAACTATTCCACTGTGGACCTACACCATGCTGGGTTTATCCACTCGGCTATCCAAGGATACCTGGGTTGCTTTCGCCTCTTGGGTATTGGGAATAGCGCTGGTATGAACGTGGGTGTGCATGTATCTCTTTGAGACTCAGTTTTCAGTGCTTCTGGGTGTGTACCTAGGATTGAAATTGCTGGATCCTATGGAAATTCTATTTTTATTTTATTTTATTTATTATTATTATTATTTTGAGATGGAGTATTGCTCTGTTGCCCAGGCTGGAGTACAGTGGCATGATCTTGTCTCATTGCAACCTCCGCCTCCCAGGTTTAAGAGATTTCTGGCTCATTTTTGTATTTTTAGTAGAGACGGGGTTTCCCATGTAGGCCAGGCTTGTCTTGAACTCCTGACCTCAAGTGATCCGCCCGCCTCGGCCTCCCAAAGTGCTAGGATTACAGCATGAGCCACCACGCCTAGGCAAAATTTTATTTTTAGGTTTTTGAGGAAATTCAGTGCTGTTTTGCACGGCAGCTATACCCTTTTATATCCCCACAGAAAGATCACCCCTTTTAAACAGGGGAGCCTGCGTCTCTTTTTCAGAGGAAGGCAGTAGGCGTCAGTCATGAACAGGCCTTGTAAATTACACAAACATACAAGAGGATCATGAAGTAGGAACCCCTCACCTTCCCCACCCCAAAAGCAGGGGTATCCCCTAGGAAACTGTGGACACATAGGAGGAGGGGCCCTGAGGGGCACCGGCTCTGCTCACAGGCCTTGGCTCCCCTGACCATGGACTCATGGCACCATGCTGCCCTCCACCATCACATTGAGTCCGTCCCTGCCCCCAGATCTTCTGCAGATGCCACAGAGGTTGGGGGACTCACCTCCTTTGTCCCCCTTTGCAGACATCCAGGCAGAGTTTGCCATGGTTATAAAGGAGTTAGATTTCTTAGCTTATGTCCCCATTTTAGAGGTCACAAAACTGAGTCATTGAGAAGAATGAATTTTTTCTTGGGTTACACCTTTAGGACTGAAAGTGACAGTCCAGCAGTAGGATTCATGGCGTGTCCAGCAGCAGGGTTCATGCATAAGGCAATATTCACGCACATGTGATTGGTAGCAAGCTCCTTGTTATTTCCTCCTCAGGGAAACTGATTCCAGTAAGGGACAAAAGCCACCATAAAGATTCCTTGTTCAGGAATCTCCTGTTTACTGAGACAGGGTAGTGTAAGCCCTCAAGGACTCCTGAGAACAGGCCTGGGACCTGCCAGTGGAAGGCTGTTAGGGGCTAGACTGTGTCCCCCAAAATTAATACAGTGAAGTCCTAACTTCTAATACCTCAAGATGTGACTAGGTCTGACAAAAGGGCATTCAAGGAGATAATGAAGTTAAAATGAGGTCACAAGACTGGTCCTTAATCTCATCTGACTGGTCTCTTTAGAAGAAGCAGAGATTAAGGACAGGAGCCAGGCTTACCCCTGTAATCCCAGCACTTTGGGAGGCCAGGGTGAGAGGATCACTTGAGGCCAGGAGTTTGAGGCCAGCCTGGACAATATAGTAAGATCCTGTCTCTTAAAAAAATAGCTGAGCATGATGGTGCACACCTATAGTCCGAGCTACTTAGGAGGCTGAGGTGGGAGGATCACTTGAGCCAAGGAGGTCAAGGCCGCAGTGAGCTGTGATTACATTGGTGCATGCCAGCCTGGATGACAGAGCGGAGACCCCCCCAAAAAGGGTGAAGAGGCAGAGATCATGACACACACAGCAAGGTACCAGGGCCTTGAGGATGCAAGGGAAAGATCATGTGAAGACACAAGGAGAAGACGGCCATCTGCAAGCCAAGGAGAGAGGTCTCAGGAGAAAGCAGCCCCACCAGCACCTTGACCTTGAACTTCCAGCCTCCAGAACTGTGAGGAAATAAATATCTGTTCCTGAAACCACATAAACTGGTATTTTGTGGCAGCCAGAACAAACTAATACAAAGGCCCAGAGAGTTTGATTTTGGCCAACTTGAAGGAGTGACCTTTCGACAGAGGGGAGCAATGATGGAGTGACTGCTGTGTGAGCTTCTCCTGGTGTCCCAAATGAGTCTGGGCGACCACTGGAGGAGCTGTCACAGACGCAAATAATATTCACTGAAGTCCAGATTCTCAGTGGCTTAGAGCAAGGGATCTTTGCTTCTTGCTTACACGATGTTCGGTGGGCAGCAGCCAGGGACTTTGCCTCATGCGGTCATTTGGGGACTCGGGATGATGGAGGACCCACTGTCTTCTACCTGTAGTTTTGAGGTCACACTGGACACCCGGCTGGAAGACGGGGAGTTGAGAAATGTAGAGAATCGTTTCGGGGTTTAATGTGCCAGGCAGGAAGCTGTGCTCTTCCCTCTGCTTCCATTGGCCAGAATTCAGTCTTGGGGCTCCACTCAACTGGAAAGCCGGAGGGAGAGTGGAGTCTGGCTGTGCTGGCAGGAGAGGGAGATGGGCTGGTCAGTCACCAGGAGGGCTCAGGATGGCGTGGCAAATGTGGCCTCCGAGGCCTCTTTTGGCACTGGTACTCGGGACAGCCTCTCTTGGAAGGAGGCTACGGTCATCTCTCTCACTGCGCCCTTCCTGCTTACAGCTTCTCAATACCCTGGCGCCTCTGCTGACCTCTTGCAATCCAAGTGACGTGAGCCACGGGTACGTGACAATAAAGGTGAGTCAGCTCTGTCTCTCAGTCTGCTGAGTGCTCTCTAACCAGGTCACCTAAAATAACCAGCAGAGATAACCAAGAGGCTGAGCTGGGAGGATCACCTGAGCCTGGGAGGCGGAGGCTACAGTGAGCTGTGATCACACCATTGTACTCCAGCCTGGGCGACGGAGTGAGACCCTGTCTCAAAAAAAAGTGGCCAGCAGAGACATTTGTTAAATATTGAGAGTGGCTGAACATCTGCTATTTATTTATTTTTTTAATATTTTTTTGGTTGGGGGGATTGGGGAGGGTTAGCATTAGGAGAAATCCCTAATGTAGATGATGGGGTGATGGATGCAGCTAACCTCCATGGCATGTATATACCTACATAACAAACCTGCATGTTCTGCACATGTACCCCAGAACTTTATAATAATAAAAAAAAAATCCACTATTTATAAGGAAATGGAATTTCCTGCAAATCTCATTCCTTAGTAATGGATGGAAGACACAAGCCCTGTCTCAGATTCTGTAAAGCCATGTGACTGCTGCGGCCAAACCCCCGCAGAACAGCAGGCTAGGGAGCTTGGCCAGTCTGGGGCCAAAGCGCGTGCACAGCTGGCCTGTGTTGGGGGAGAAGATGTTTTCATTCAACAGGTATTTTTAATTTTTTTTGGTGGGGGTATAGGAGAGCGCTTCCTCTGTCAGGTGCAGGCTAGATAGAAGGGGTGCGGTGATGATTAAGACAGACCTGTCCTCAAGGAGCCCACATGGAGGGCAAGGAGAGGGAAAGGGTCATTCAGATGTTCTTTCTGTTTCAAAGGGTTATCATAAGGCCAAGGCCACATGCAGAGGCCACTGGCTGGTGACCTGGCTGGGAGATCTAACTTGGCTTGCTGACACACAGTAGGGGTTTAGTACATCCTCATGGATTCACTTTGGGATCTTTCCTCATTTGTCACTGGCCTCATTTAAATACAAAAGGACCTAAAGCTGCGGGTCCACTCATCTGCAAAAAAAATGGCCAGACAGCTACTGTGCAGCCAGGTAGACCCAGCTGGAATCTTGGTGTGGCCACTTAACTGAGATTGCAGCCTTGGGCAAGCATCTTACTGCTGTGAGCCTCAATATCCACACCTTTATAATGAAATGACGACATCTCTCCATGCAGTTTCTGTAAGAATTAAATGAAATGTTGTATGCAGACCACGGGACGTAGTGCCCGACAGCCACTGCTCCATAGATGGCGGCTGACAGACAGGAGGGCTGGAGGCCGTGGCTGTGCTGGCCTTGGAGACCTTGGGGACCCTTGCTGTTCTGGAGGAAAACCTCAGTATATTAATATTCTGAGATGAGTGGAGGGCCTTCCATGACCCCAGGGATTTTATGTTCATAGCCTCTGTGGTTTGGTTATAGCAAGGATGAAGCCCCTGCTCAGAATGGGATCTAAGCTCAGAATGGGTTCTGCGAGGGTGGAGGCAGCCACCATAAATGTTGTAAAGTGGGCATCCAAGCACGAGTGGGTTTGCATCATAAGAAAAGGCTTTTCTGGTACTGAAAGCTACTGGTCAGCATCACTGATAGACATTCCTTCTATGAGTCTGGGTTCTCCTGAAGGGGTGAATGTTTCTTCAGGGCCTTCAGGTCCCATGTCTCTGGTGGTAAAGAGGAGTGAGGGCCTTTTCACCCAGGGCTGGGGGCTGGGTTGTAACCATGGACAGGGTTATTTTTGTAATTCCCTTAGGGTTTGCATATCCAGTTTTAAGAGATTCTTTATTTGACCTTGAAGGAGTGTGATTAGAATCACTTTCCTCCACCCTGTCTTCCCCCCACCCTGTATTTCAGAGCTGGCAGCAAACTTCTGGGGAGTCCCAGCTGCACCAGGCTCTCAGGGGGCTGGTGCATTGATTGCCACTGAATCCTAAACCGGGTTGATAATAGATCTTTTTGTGTTCTGGCTTTACGGACATTTTTTTTTTAACACAGAAAAAAATGAGGATAGGAAAGGACGTATGTTTGCTGGGCTAGTCAGCTGAGTCAATATGAAGCTGTGAGCCTCAGTATCCACAGCTTTATAATGAGATGATAAAGCTCAAGAGTAAGCCGTTTGGAGTTTCTCTGGGGACCCCTCCCACCTGCTAGAACACAGGCGAGCTAGGATCGTTTGATCAGATCTAAGTGTGAAACATTTCTCAGTGTAAGGTAAATCGAATTTAAAGTGAACTTTTGCCAAGTGCTAAAGGAAAGACCATGGAACAAACTCTGATAAACATTCTGTGAGGGAGTCTGCGAAATGCCCACCTAATGTTTTCTTGAGCAGAATAGCTTGTTAGGAATCATGAATGAAACTTCCTGTGGAGCAAGGTGTGATGGCTCATGCCTGTAATCCCAGCACTTTGGGAGGCCAAGGCAGGAGAATCACTTAATGCCAGAAGTATGAGACCAGCCTGGGCAACATAGAGAGACCCCATCTCTACAAAAAATGTAAAAATTAGCTGGGTGTAGTGGCATGTACCTGTGGTCTCAGCTACTTGGGAGACTGAGGTGGGAGGACTGCTAGAGCCCAGGAGTTTGAGGCTGCAGTGAGCTATGATCATGCCCCTTCCCTCCAGACTGGGCAACAGAGCGAGACCACATCTCCCTCACTGCCCAAAAAAGAAAATTCCAGTGTGGGGCACAGCTTGGAGTCATCTTACAGCTAAGTGGAATTGTTCCACTTGAATATCTATAATGTGACTCTGATTGTTCTCCTGCATTTCCCTTAGGACACTGGTGATATGTAATTGGGGTAAGAACAGGGCACTTGATTATTTGGTTCATTTGGCTGGACCCCACCATAACAGTCAGGGCTGATCAGCTGCTGTAACAAACACACTGTCCCTTTCAGTGGCTTCACACCAAGTGTGTTTCTCACCTACAGCACAGTGTGTGGTGGGCTCTGTCCATGTAGCCATTCAAGCAACCAGGCTCTTTTTCTCCGCTGCCTCCACCTTCCTCAAGGCCCACGCCATTCAGGCAGAGATAGGCAAAGGGAGGGAGGCTGCACACAGAGGGTCCTGTGAGCCCTGGATGCAGCGCCTTTCCTCTGCTTCAGAGACACTGGCTAGGGCTCAGTCACGCGGCCACACCAACTGTAGGAGGGGGAGGTGCTCTGCGAGATGCTAACATGTGCCTGGAAGAGGATGGGAACACAGAGCTTGTCAAGCCCTCACGGTCTCTGCCACACCCATAGCCCCCAAAAAGACTACAGGTGTGGCAAAGCTTGAACAAATTTCATGTTTAAGAAGTCAGCAGCTCTTAATGAAACACTCATGGTATTGAGACAGCGAGGTGGGAGGGGCCCCCAGAGAAACTCCAAACAGCCTGCGCACTGGAGTGGAGTTCTTGCTCTTTGCAGCAGGGAAAAGCCTGGCTCCTCCTCTTCCTGCGTGGAACCTGGGATTCCAACAGCGAGCTGGAAGTGCTCTAGCAGGGAACTCTGGCCTTGCAGAGAGTCCCTATTCCCCACTTTTTCCTTTCACCTAATAACACCCTGCTCTTTACTCACACTTCAAATTGTCTGCAAGCCTATATTTTCATGACCGTGGGACAAGGACCCTGTCTTTAGCTGAACTAAGGAAAAGTCTTGCAATAGTATTCGGCACGTGACCGTGAATATTATGCTCTGCACAATATCAGTCCCCTCTTTAATATACTGAAAACACATCAGAACAGCACCAGAAACTCTGAGACTATGGGGCCCTTGTAGAGAGGAAGGAGAAGTGTGTTGTTATTTTGTTTTGTTTTCCAATGTAATGTCTTTAGAGTTCTTAGGTCAACGTGAGAGCCTCCTGTTGTCATTGAGTAGGTTGGCCAGAGCCTCTTCTCAGCCATTTTCATCTGACACTGGGGCCTTTCACTGAGAATCCGGGTCATGCGCAATCCAGCAACTGACTGAAACGCCGCTGGCATTCTGCAGATGCTGCGGTGCCTGGGTCCACGGGGCCTGGTGCTTGGTCACTGCCTGCTCCTCTTTCCCTTCCACAGCCCGGGGTCCGTCTGCATTTTGTGGAGCTGGGCTCTGGCCCTGCCGTGTGCCTCTGCCATGGATTTCCTGAGAGCTGGTATTCTTGGAGGTACCAGGTGAGGAAAGCTGGGGAGGGTGCACCCCGTCAGGGTGAGGTTGGGGGAGTCTAGATGGTATGGCCCGACGTGGACGTCCATGAGGAAGCTGAAACCTGACAGTGGAGCTTTGTCTCCAAAGTGTGACCAGGGGCTGGGCACGGTGGCTCATGCCTGTAATCCTAGCACATTGGGAGGCCAAGGTGGGCGGATCATGAGATCAGGAGATTGAGGCCAACATGATGAAACCTCATCTCTACTAAAAATACAAAAATTAGCTGTGGTGGCACATGCCTGTAATCCCAGCTACTTGGGAGGCTGAGGGAGCAGAATCACTTGAACTGGGTGGCGGAGATTGCAGTGAGCTGAGGTCGCGCCACTGCACTCCAGCCTGGGCAGCAGAGTGAGACTCCATTACACACACACAAAAATGTGACCAGTTGGGGCAGAAGGTGACTCCAGACCTCAGGGCTATGCTAGGGCATGAGGTACCTTTGCAGATTAGAAAAGGGCAGATTCTTTAAGACACTCCACACGCTCTGCTGGGAGGCTTCTGTGCTGGGTATGGAGATCTGCAAGAGCTTTGCCAGGGAAGATGCTCTTTTATATGTGGCATTTCTGCCATGCACAAGCCCTACCACTGTCCACAGAGCCCTATATAAATGGGCTCATTGCAGCCCCACGGTGAAGATACCAGGTAGTGCCACGTGGGTCTTTGGTTTGAGCCATTTACAGGAAGAAGGAGATGGAGGGAAGTAAAGAGGGAGTGTCTGCCTGGGACTGAGGAGGCCATGCTGGAGTGTGCCTGTTTGTTTTCCAGATCCCTGCGCTGGCCCAGGCGGGTTACCGGGTCCTAGCTCTGGACATGAAAGGCTATGGAGAGTCGTCTGCTCTTCACGGTGGGTGCGCTGTCTTGTAGCTGTCTTGTGTTAGTACTGCCTTTTATCTACCTGAGCGCTCCACGCCTCGGTGGTTTCCCTGGTCCCAGATCAGAGTAGCCTTCCCCTTAAGGGAGTCTGACTTCACCTCTCTCCTCTCCCACAGTTCCCTGTGTCTCTGCACTTTGAGCTTCAGATGCCCCTGCCTGCCCCCCACACTCTGAATGAATGCAGCAGCCCCAAAGGCCCAAAATCCAAGGGATCTCCCACTGGTCATAGCGGGTGGTGGGCATAGAATGTACCATCCATCTCCAGAACATTCTTCATCTTGCAAAACTGAAAGGCGGCATTCAGTCCTCAGTTCTTCCTCTCCCCAGTCCCTGGAAACCCCCATTCTACTTTCTGTCTCTATGAATCTGACTCCTCTAAAGACCTCATATAAATGGAATCATATAACATCTGTCCTTTTGTGTTTGGCTTGTTTCACTTAGCCTAATGTCCTGAAGTTTCTTCCATGTTGTAGATGGTGCCACAATTTCCTTCCCTTTTTTTTGAGACTAGGTGGTGCTCTGTTGCCCAGACTGGAGTGCAGGGGCGTGATCTCAGCTCACTGCAACCGCTGCATCCTGGGTTCAAATGGTTCTCCTGCCTCAACCTCCCGAGTAGCTAGAATTATAGGCGCTCACCAACATTCCCGGCTAATTTTTGTATTTTTAGTGGAAACAGGGTTTCACCATGTTGAACAGGCTGGTCTGGAACTCCTGCCTGAGGTGATCCACCTGCCTCAGCCTCCCAAAGTTCTGGGATTAGAGGCATGAGCGGCCTGGCCAATTTTCTTCCTCTTTAAGGCTCAATACTATTCCATTGCATGGATAGACTACATTCTGCTTCGCCGTTTATCCACCGATGGATGCTTCAATGGTCTCCACCTTTTGGCTTCTGTGAACATGGATGTGCAAATAGCTGTCTGTATCCTTGCTTTCAGTTCTTTGGGGTATATACCCAGGAGCAGAATTGCTGGGTCGTATGGTAATTCATAGGCCAGATTTTTAACCCAGTGTCTGTGGATCCCTGCGGGAATCTATCCAGGATGGGTGTCCGATGGCATGGGAACCTCTGAGACAACATGTAGATTTATGAGCATTTTCCTGGTGGGTAGAGCCACTTGCTTTTTATCAGCTTCAGAGGGGTCCTCAGTCCTGAACTGTTAAGAACCTTGGATGTGGAGGCAGGAATGGGAAGCAGCCAGGCGTGAGCAGCAGCCCTGGTCCTCCAGGTGTTGGCGATGCAGCTGGCAGTGAGTTAAACCCAGCAGGGCTGCTCACCCCTTTTCTGAGCTGCTCCCCATAATCACATCAAGCACGATTGGCTGTAGGGTTTAAAGCCAGCTGACATGGACCGGGACTCTTGGTCACTCAGGGGTCCACTCAGAGGACTGAGCATGTCACACACAGGGGGCGTCTCAAGTGGTCAAACCCTGAATATTGTGCTGTCGAATTAGCCTCTGCTGCTGCCTCCTGAATGACACAAAAGCATGTTACACAAAAAAAGGCCTTTTGTTCAGACAGCTGGGAAAGCCAGCTAAGGGCTTCTGATTTTTAAATGCAATTATTAAAATGTTTAATTTTCTTTCACATATACTGTAGTCTTCTCTGAATTCCCTAGGCATAACTTAGTAACATCATTTAACATTCAAACCAGAGCACTCTCAAAAGTGAGACACTATTAAAACCATACAAACTGGGCCGGGTGCAGTGGCTCACGCCTGTAATCCAGGCAGTTTGGGAGGCTGAGGTGGGCGGATCACAAGGTTAGGAGTTCGAGACCAGCCTGACCACCGTGGTGAAACCTCTTCTCTACTAAAAATACAAAAATTAGCCGGGTGTGGTGGCGGGCACCTGTAATCTCAGCTATTCAGGAGGCTGAGGCAAGAGAATCGCTTGAACCTGGGAGGCAGAGGTGCAGTGGGCCAAGATCATGTCACTGCATTCCAGCCTGGGCAACAGAGCAAGATTCCATCTCAAAAAAACGAAAAACAAACAAAACATACAAACTGGAACTGCCCTGGAGAAAACCTGAAACTTATAGTCTTACCCTAACTCTAACTTTGTCTAAGGAAAAACATAATATAGATGCTAACTGTTGTTGAAAGATCATTATGTAAAATTAATTCTAAAACCAAGCATAATGATTTAAAACATACACACACATTTCAGATCGCGTATGTCTACCTTTCCTATGATTTGACAATGGATTTTAGGTTGCAAATCATTTTCCCTTAAAATGTTGAAGGTTTGTCCCCACTCTTTTCTAGGTTCCATTGTTACTGTTGAGAAATCTCAGCCATTCTGATTCGTGAGCCTTTCTATGTGGCTGTTGTTTTTCCCTTTGAACACTTTGGGTATCTTTTCTTTATCTGAAATTATATGATGTTGTGCTCTGACCTGGGTCTTTTCTCATCCACTTTGCTGGGCACATTTATCTTCTAGTTCTTGGAACTTTCCATGCATTATTTCTTTGATAATCTTTTCTTCTATTTTCTCTTTTTATTGTTCTTTTTCTGTTTGCTTTCTAGAATTGCTATTGTTAAAACACCGTTATTGTTAAAATTGCTATTATTGTTGAAATCTTGCTACCCATTGAGTTGGGTACTCATATGACTCAAAGCAATCTACAGATGCAATGCAATCCCTGTCAAAATCCCAATGACATTTTTCACAAAAATAGACACAGCAATTCTGCAATTCTTATGGACCCACGAAAGACCGCAAACAGACAAAGCAATCTTGACAAAGCAATCTTGAGAAAGAATAATGAAGCTGGAGGCATTTGAAGCACACTTTCTGATTTCAAACTATATTACAAAGCTATAGTATGACACAAACAGTGTGATACAAACATAAAGACAGACATAGTTCAGTGGATAGAGAGCCCAGGAGTCAATCCACACGTATGTGGTCAGCTGATCGTTGACAAGGGTACCAAGAATAGTGGAGAAAGGACACTCTCTTCAAAGAAACAGTGGTGAGGAAAAATGAAAAAGAATGAAATTGGAACTTTATCTTACACCACACACAAAAATCAGCTCAAAATGGATGGAAGACTTAGATGTATGACCTGAATCTTTACAACTACCAGAAGAAGACATAAGCGGGGAAGCTTGACGATGGTCTCGGCAATGATCCCAGGGATATGACATCAAAAGCACAGGCAACAAAAGCAAAAATAAACACCGGGGTCTACCTCAGTCGAGTTTCATACGTTTCTGTGGGGTTTTGTTGTGGTTTTGTTTTTGGTTTCCTTTGCAAAAGGGCCCTTTTGATGTGTTGATATCTTTTAAATAACGTGAGTTAAATGTATGTATTTTGTTTTTAATTGCAGAAATAGAAGAATATTGCATGGAAGTGTTATGTAAGGTAAGAAGGATCTTGGGTAACCTCTGTAACATCTTCCCCACCATGTGTTTTTTGTTGATATAAATCTGAAGCTGGGATGCCCATTCACATTTTAGGGAAGCATCATTTCATAGCCTCTGGTTATAAATTCCTACTGAAAGTTGAACAATATTTTCAAGTGATAGCCAACATGTATGAAGCATTGACTGTGTCAGGTCTTCCTCTAGGCAATTGACAGAAGAGAAAACTGAGTCACGAGAAGTTAAAGGTAATGGCCTGAGGTCAGCAGCTGGTAGAGCCAGGCTGGAAGCCCGCAGTACTGCACTCTATTGTCTCTGCATCTAGAGCATTGAGAAAGTCACTTTATTTTGGTAAAGATGTTATTGGCCAGACCTAGGCCAGATTTTTGTGGACTGGTGACCAGCAGGGATGGAGTTGCTGCTCTAAGACAGGTGTAAGCACCATCCTTTAAGTGCTGGCAGGGGAGGCCGAGGCCAAGGTGCGGAGAGACTGGGACCCAAACCTCCACTAAGCTCAGGAGCAAAAGCAAAGGCTGGAGGAGCCCAGGGGAGGAAGCAGCCCCCAGGTTGGCTGGGAAACTAGCAACGCTGCTGGCCACACTAGGATTACAGAAGTCTCCATCTCTGAGTCACAGCCCAGGGGAACTTGTCCCCTCAGGTGTGCCGCCAAGCTTCATGTGCTGCTTTGGCATATCAGAAGCAATAAGGGGTAAAAGTGCCGTTTCCAGGCAGGGCTGCTTCTCCTTACTCAGTTTCCCAGTCCTTGCCTCTTGCACTCTGCTGCTTCTGATCCCACCACATGTCTCCCTGAAGTCCTACCAAGGTCTCATCAGTGACCCTGGGAGCCCCTATCCTGCTGTTGTCCTCTAACCTGGATCTTGCTTATTTCCATCAAAATCCATTCTTGAGACTGTCACCTTGGGTCACTTAGGAGAACTGTTCTCTTGAACAAAGTCCTTTAACCAAAAACAAACAGCATGGTGCTCGTATCCTTCTGTTCCACCTTTGAAAAATCATGAGTACATCCACAGCTAGGTATTTACCCAAGAAAATCGATGATGTATGTCCACAAAAAAAACCCAGATACAAGTGTTCACAGCAGCATTAGTCCTAATAGCCAAAAAGTGGAGATAGCCCACATGTCCATCAGCTGACGAATAGATAAAGAAAATGTGGCCCATCCCTACGGTGGGACACTGTTCAGCCGTACAGAGGAATGACGGGCTGGTGCAAGCTTCAGCGGGAATGAACCCTCAAAAGACGTTGCTCAGCAAAAGAAGCCAGTTTCTGTGTCAGGACAGTGGGTGGGGGGGGGCAGGAATGCATTGTCCCTGGGGTGCAACTAGCCTCACTGCTCCCCTGCAGCAGCAGCACGTGGGCAAGCTCTACAGGGCAGCTATCTTCCATTCCCCTCCCTGCCCAGGGAGGAGCCCAGGCTTGCTGTCTTACAGTGGCAATGGGACAGTGAGGGATAAGTATTGGTGGACACTGAATAACTCACTGTGCATGTTTGCAGTCGGCCTGGGTCCTGAGAGGATGCTGGGATGGGAAGGGTGGTGTTCTGAAGGCTGCTGAGAGATAGACAGCTGCACTGCTCAGCCTGGCTGCCGTAATAAAGGGCCAGAGACCAGGCAGCTTCAACAATAGACATTTATTTTCTCAGTTCTGGAGGCTGGAAGTCTAAGATCAAGGTGTCAGCAGAACTGATTCTCCAGAGAGCTCTCCTGGGCGTGTAGATGCTGCCTTCTTATAAGTCCTCACGTGCTCATTCCTCTGTGCGTGTCTGTGTCCTGATCTCCTCCTCTTCTTTTTGTTTTGTTTTAATAAGAGACAGGGTCTCCCTGTGTTGCCCAGGCTAGTCTCCAACTTCTGGGTTCAAGGGATTCTCCTCCCTTGGCTTCCCAGTGTTCTAGAATTACAGGTGCAAGCCACTGTGTGCAGTCTAATCTCTTTTTATTTTTTTTATTTATTTTTTTGAGACAGAGTCTTGCTCTGTCACCAGGCTGGAGTGCAATGGCGTGATCTCAGCTCACTGCAACCTCCACCTTCTGGGTTCAAGCCATTCTCCTGCCTCAGCCTCCAGAATAGCTGGGATTATAGGCACCTGCCACTGAGCCCAGCTAATTTTTGTATTTTTAGTAGAGATGGGATTTCACCATCTTGGCCAGGCTGGTCTCAAACTCCTGACCTCGTGATCCACCCACCTCGGCCTCCCAAAGTACTGGGAGGCGTGAGTCACCACGCCCGGCCTAGTCTTCTCTTCTTATAGGACTCCAGACACATTGGATTAGGGCCCACCCATATGACCTCATTTTACCTTAATCACCTCTTTAAAGGCTGTATCTTCAAAAACAGTCCCATTCTGAGGCCTTGGGGGTTAGGATTTCAACATAGCAGTTTTGGGGAGGACACAGTTCAGCCCATCATAAAGGCTGAGGTGGACAGGGGTGGTGGCTGATTTTGTTTGCGTGTCTTCTTTTTTAGGAGATGGTAACCTTCCTGGATAAGTTGGTAAGTCATTATTTTGAACTGATATCTTTGGAGAATTCCTTTGGGGCCTGGGTAATTAAAGAAAAGGCATCAGCCTGGAGCAGAGGTACACGGGCAGGGAGGGCACATTTTGGGGGCAGTTAAAGGTGGGTGGGCATGGGCAGGGAAAATCACAAAAACAGATGGCATAGAGCAAGAATTGCTTGGGAACAGGATGGAGATGAGCTTATTTCTTTGTCTTTTAATGAAGCCGGTTCCAGGGAATGGAACCAGGGAAGACAGCCTTGAGTATCAGGTAGAGAAGTTTGGATATCTCAAAATATCCCATAGGCTAATATTTCCCAACTCTTTAAACTTTCATCCTTCTGACACTCCTAAAACCTAATGCTTGCATTTGACATTGTTGGGAATGTCAAGCTCAATGATAACAAATGAAAGGGAATCAGCAGTGCTGAGTTGAGAATGTGCCTTGGCTGAGCACACTTCCACTCCCAAGACTCCATGGTGTAACAGCCTCCCCTTCCCCAAGGGAGGTCATGGGGGCAGAATGGACTGAGGGGTCAGCTCAGCCAGGACAGCAGCAGTGGAGGACAGGGGAGGGCTATAGGGCAGTGGGACTTAGGGCCTCTTAATTGGATGTGGGAGACAGAAAGGATCTAGGCAGCTGACCTCTGGTTCGCCAGCAGGGCACTGTGCCTGACACGGCAGGGAAAACGCCATGAGGATATCGGGGTCCCTGCCCTCTGCAGATTCTCAGTTTCATGGGATTAGGTTTGGAACTTTTGGTTGTGATGCGGACAGGGAACAGGGCCTGGCCCAGAGTGGCCACCCAGTCCTGACTCTGTACAGCCTTCTGTCTCTAGAGTGACTGTGCGGTTGCCACCAGCGGGGTCAGTGTGGAGGGAGGTGTGGGGTAGGCTCTGCCATGTAGGTTTCGCTCTGTGATGTTTGCACCACGAAACCTCCTGACACATTTCTGAGAACATGTCCCCCTCCTTAAGTGACACGTGGCTATAGCTGCTCCATAAAGAGGGGTTGACGTCATCGTCAGTGCCGGCAACAGAAAGAGAGAGATTAAAGATGCTTTTGAACCTTTAACAGTTTAAGGGAGTGGAGCTCCCAAAAAAGTGGGATTGCGGGGTGGAAGCATAATCAGTTGAAAAAAGATGCACATGGGACGTGAAGAGGTCTTTTAAGATAGAAGGGAGGAAAAAGAGAAAAGGACGAAACAAAATTTGATTTGAGAGAAGGTAAAAGGGAGAAGGAACCCATGGCCTATGGCCCCAGCCTCCTAAGCAGATGTAAAAGGCCGGCAATTTGTGTTGAGGGTCTTTGGCTGGTGCAGGGAGGAGAAGCTCGGAGGGCGGGCATTTGGACGCTGCTGTGGGGCAGGAGACGAGGCCCAGGTGTAAAGGGGCTGGCTGAGGGCTGAGGCTCCCAGCATCCCATTCCAGAAACCTCCCCACATTTGGCTCCCTTCTTTCTGCTTCTCTAGGGCCTTTCTCAAGCAGTGTTCATTGGCCACGACTGGGGCGGCATGCTGGTGTGGTCCATGGCTCTCTTCTACCCCGAGAGAGTGAGGTAATTGGGCCTCGGGCTATAAGGATTTTGGGGAGGCTGTGCTTGAACTCCTGTGAGAATTGTTCCTCAGATCTTGAAGCCTAGAAGACTTCTCAAAAATAAGTAGGTGATCTGGGAAGGTGATACCTTCGCTCTTTAGTGTCTGGTGACACATTAATAAGAGAGCCTAACTGGGCATGGTGGCTTACACCTGTAATCCCCGCACTTCGGGAGTCCAAAGCGGGTGGATCATGAGGTCAGGAGCTTGAGACCAGCCTGGCCAAGATGGTGAAACCCCATCTCTACTAAAAATAGAAAAATTAGCTGGGCATAATGATGTGCACTTGTAATCCCAGCTACTGGGGAGGCTTAGGCGGGAGAATCACTTGAACCTGGGAGGTGAAGGTTGCAGTGAGGTGAGATCACGCCATTGCACTCCAGCCTGGGTGACAAAAGCGAAATTCCATCTCAAAAACAAAACAAACGAAACAAAACAGGATCTAATTAGCTAATGTGTTAGGAGGCAGCACCTGTTATAATTACAGCCAATGGGACAAATAATTCAGGGCCCGAGTGGCCGGTGGTAATGCACGAGGATCATGGCTGAGCTTGAGGGGTACAGGGGAGGCAACAGGTGTGTCTTCAGTCCTGGACTGAGACACAGAAAGAGTGGCCTTCCATTCTGCCCTGATCAGCTGTGGGACACATCACTTTACTTCTTAGGCCTTGGCTTTCTCAACAACAAAGTGGTGATGGTAACTCCTGCCTGACTCCACACCAGAAAATGCTGTGCAAATGTGCAGTGAGCCCAGCATGTCCTGGTCCCCACCATTTTCTTCATGTCGCTCATTGTTAGACCAGCATTTCACAGCTTGAGTGAGAGCTATCAGGTGGCAGGTTTGGGCCCAGAGACTGTACTCTGGCGGTTTGAGCTGGTGAGCTGCAGTTAAAACCTATCTGACTTCCCATTTCGGCCTCTGGTCTTGGGAAGTTAAAGAAACATCATCCTCAGCTGCCATTTGAATTTCTCTAACTAATTCAGTTATTTTGTATTTGGCTAAGTTTATGAGATTGGAACTATGAGGAAACTTTGTTCTGTTTCACTCTTGGCTCAAATGATAGGATTCTATGAAAAACTAAGGAATCAAATGTTTCCTAAAATATTAAAGTTTTCATGCTGTTGTTCTGCTCATCTCTCTAACTTTTTAAATTTTTTTTAAATTTCTCGTGGGTACATAGTAGGCATATTCTAGCTTTTCCCTCTCACTTTCTCTGTCCCCTCTCTCATTCAAAGTGGAAATAAAAGCTTGGTTCTTAAGAATTGGGTTCACCAAAATATGCATGACATGCTGGTTAAAGGGATGATAGCAACAAGCTGTGTTTGCCCCTCAAATTTACCCCCTTTTCTATTCCTCCTTTTTTTTTTTTTTTTTTTTTGAAACAGAGTCTCGCTCTGTCGCCCAGGCTGAAGTGCAGTGGTGTGACCTTGGCTTACTGCAACCTCTGCCTCCTGGGTTCAAGTGATTCTCCTGCCTCAGCCTCCCGAGTAGCTGAGACCACAGGTGTGCACCAACATGCCTGGGTAATTTTCGTACTTTGAGTAGATGTGGGGGCTTCACAACACAGGCCAGGCTGGTCTCGACCTCCTGGCCTCAAGTGATCCAGCTGCCTCTGCCTCCCAAAGTCCTGGGATTACAGGTGTGAGCCACCACGGCCAGCTGTCTTTTCTGTTCCTTTTGCTAGCATCCTGTTCCCTCTCTGGGTGATAATGGAATGGTCTACTGGCTGGATTCTCAGCTTCTGGCCTCTCCATCTGTGTCTGTGTGGTCTCTCAGGGCTGGATTAATCTTCCTGACTGCAACTGATCCACCCTCCCCCCTTCTCAGAAGCCCTCATGGTTTTCTTGGCTCTTAGGGCATCAAGTTCAGACTCAGGGCCCTTCATGCCTGGCCTCCCACTGCCTTTCTATTGTTATTTTCCAACATAGCCCATTCCACATTTGGCCTCTAGCCACGCAGACTCCGTGCTCCACTGAACACAGCTGCAAGCTTTGCCCCCTTCTAGAATTTGCTCAGGCTACCTCGTGATGTTCCCCTCGAAGGCCCTGTTCCCCTCCCCAACTCTCCCCACTCTGAAAAGCCAAGTCCAAATGCCCCCTTTCCACAAGGTCCTCCATGATGCCCAGTTCAGAATTCCTTATCTCCTTCCAACCCCCATGCTATTGTGTGCTACGGCTCATGTCATAGTCGTCTCATAAGACCATTGTGTGTTTTTTCTATTCTAATTTATTACGATGAGCTCCTTGAGGATAGAAATGATATTTTATTCATTTTACATTTTCTCTCCCCTGGTATATACCATAGAATTATGCTCAATCCAGAGGAGACACAATGAGTGAATAAAGGGAGGGAAAAAAATGAATGCATATTTTAAAACTAGAGAGATTTGTGTCTTCATATTCTATTCAGGGTTGCTATAGCATATGTAGTTGTGTGTGTGTGTGTGTGTGTGTGTGCGCGCGCGCGCGCGCGCGCATGCGCCTATGTGTCTAAGGCAAGTTGGTGAGAAATACTGCAGTTTAGTGGGAAAAAACCCACTGGGCTAGGAATCAAAAATCCTGAGTTCTGATCCCATTCTCCCATTCACTGCTAGTGTATGACCTTGTGCGTAGAATGTTCCCACTCTGAGCTTCAGTTTTGAACCGCAAAGTCCTTTCTGGCTCTTGTAGACTGTCTCCTTACAGGGGCTAAGTCTTGCTGCCTCTTATTTCTGTAGGGCAGTGGCCAGTCTGAATACTCCCTTCATACCGGCAAATCCCAACGTGCACCCGATGGAGAGTATCAAAGCCAACCCAGTGTTTGATTACCAGCTCTACTTCCAAGAACCGGTAAGTGTGGCACCACGGGCAACAGTGGCAGCGTTAGTGTTGCCTTTCTCCTTCCTGTCTCTTTCTTATTTGCTTTATCTCTGTCCCCTTTAATTTTATGTGGCATTAGTCAGAAACGATTTTTACAAATGGGCTCAGGTGAAACCAGCTGCCATGCCCAGCTGGCCCTTCCCAGGCGATGGCACATTTCCGTGTGTGTTTGGGTGGTGAAGGGCTAGGGGATGTCGCACCCTGGGGAGATGGCTTCTTCGGTGTCTCTGCAGTTGCAGAGTTTCGGGGCGTGGTGCTCAGGTAAGAGCCGCCCCTCCTGGTTCTCTGGCCGAGAGGCTGGTGGAACCCACCTCTCTCATTGGTGACAGCTGAGCTGGTGGAACCCACCTCTCTCATTGGTGACAGCTGAGCTGGTGGAGCCCGCCTCTCTCATTGGTGACAGCTGAGCTTTGTGATTAGGCCCCAGGGTCTAAGAGTCCTGCAGCAGACGCCACGTGTACTCTGAAGAATGAGCAAAGTTTCTAGGTATCAACCCACGTGCCACGAAGTTGCCTTTCAAAGGTGCCCCCTGGACATGGCTAATACATGCATTGGGGCATACCTGCCACCCTTAACTGGAGTTCACTGAGCACAGCGTCAGGATTCCATATCATATGACGTGGTGCCCCCTGTGGCTGCCCTCTTCTGTGGGAGGCACCTGCAGGTGCCTCCATCCACTTTCGGGAATTATCCAGAGAGAACAAAAGTTGTTTCCTGCACACTCCAGAGAGAGGAATGGAAGGAAGTAATTAATCAGGAACGTGAGACCGTTTCCACATCCCTCTCCCAGCCTCCACCTCTGCTCCTCTTAGGAGGTACCATTTCCGGCAAGACCACAACTATCCCCATTTCAATTCAATGAGAGTAAGTCTTTTCCAACAATTATTTTCATTGTTGAGACAGCATCTATGTGAGAGGATCTTTGCGATTCAGGCAATAACTGGACTCATTCACCGATAGCTTCCAGCGGCATTTCAGGCAATCTCAACCTGTCGTATCCCCACATCCTATGGGGAGGCCAGGGCCCTGCCATGCCATGTCCTGGTGTATGGGAACCCATGGGCTTCCAATGGCCTGAATGAAATCACAGGGCCCTTCATTAGTGTGAGATAGTCTCAAGCGCGAGACGGTGGGTATGGTATATGGTGTAGAGGGTGGATTGCTTTGCTAGGGCTGCCGTAGCAAAGGCCTGGCAGCTCAACAGACTGGGCAGCTTCAGCAACAGATATTCATTCTCTTACAGTTTTAGAGGCTGGAAGTTCAAGATCAGTGTATTTGTAGAGTTAGTTTCTCTTGAGGCCTCTCTCCTTGGCTTGTGGATAGTCTTCTTCTCCTTATATCCTCATGGTATTCAGTTCATTAAAAAAAATTCTTTTTTGAGACAGGGTCTCGCTCTGTCACACAGGCTGGAGTGCAGTGGTGTGATCATAGCTCACTGCAGCCTCGACCTCCCCAGGCCCACATGATCCTCCCACACCAGCCTCCTGAGCACTGAGACTATGGTTGCATGCTGCCACAATTGGCTAATTTTTTTTTTTTTTAATAGAGACAGGGTTCCCCCATGTCAACCAGGCTGGTTTCAAACTTCTGGGCTCAGGTGATCTGCATGCCTTGGCCTCCCAAAGCGCTGGGATTACAGGTGTGAGCTACTACACCTGGCCAAAAATATTTTTAATTGTGGTTACATACATGTAACATAATTTGACCCTGTTCCCTATTTGTAAGTGTGCAGTTCTGTGGCATTAAGCACGTGTACACTCTTATGCAGCCATCACCACATCCACCTCCAGAACTTTTCTGTCTTCCCAACTGAAGCCCTCCACCCATTAAACACTAACTCCTCATCTCCTCTCCCAGCCCCTGGCAGCCACCATTCTCCTTTCTGTCTACATGATTTTGACTCCTCTAGGAGCCTCATGTAAGTGGAAGCATGCAGTATTTGTCCTTTTGTGACTCGTTTCTTTCACTTAGCATCGTGCCTTCGAGGTTCATCCAGTGCAATAGCATGGGTCAGAACTGCCTTCCTTTTTAAGGCTGAATACTTTTCCATGGTGTGTATAGACCACATTCTCTTAATCCAGTCATGTGTCAATGGGTTGTAGCTCCAACTGTTTTTGAGCACTGATGCCAGGTGGTTCTAATCTTCACAGCAACACTAAGAATCCTCTCCTGTCTTCTCAGCCAAGCAAACAGAGGCTCAGAGGGCTTAACCCCAACTGGCTAAGAGCAGGTACATCATTGGGTCAGGATATTGACCTAGGCTTGTTTGACTTCAAAGCCCATGCCTCCCACTAAGCTGGGCTGGAAGAGAGCTTGTGCCTTGTTCTGTGAGCTATGGTGATTCAAGCAGAGAGAGGAGGGACAAATCGGGATAAGCTCAAAGTCCTGATTGCAAAAGTGACCTTAGGAGAAAGACGCTTAGTAATTACAGCCTTTGTAAAGGCACAGGTTTTTGTTTCAAAGGTTGTTACAGTTATTCTGGAAAAATCAGTACCTCTATTCTGTTGTGGCAGCTGGGTTTAAAATCTGCAGCCAGAGTTTTGGGGACGGTTTTGTTCTTAAGAACAAAGCGCGTTGGCAGGGAAATGTTACATATTCAAATTAGTGATCCGGCCATGGAAAGATACCCAGCAACCAGGTTGGGCTGCATCCAGCCACTCAGTAGGCACAGAGCTGGGACTGGAGGAGAAACAGGGGTTCGTGCCAGCCTGCCTGGTACCTATTCTGTAAGGAACAAGTAGGCAAAAGTGCTTCCCATCTCTGGCCCTCAGTTTTCTCCTCTGCAAAAGGTTGGTTTTGGGTGGTTTTCAAACAGGTAGTAGCTTCAAACTTAAGCTGACTCCAGGTCGGTCAATAAAGCCAATAGCATGGAGAACAGCTCTTTGAAGCACAGTGGGTGCCGGGGGTTCCTCCTTCCTGCCAGCTCCTAACCTGTTTCCTCCCTGGCCCGGAGAAGGCATTTCTGGCATCTCTTGCTTCTCCATAGGAGCACTGAGGCTGTTCCAGACCCATGCAGCCAAAGGAAGACTCCTTCTGTGCTGTGGGTGTACCTGTCTCCCCACCCTATTTTTTTTTACTATTTTTTGAGACAGAGTCTCACTGTATTGCCGAGGCTGGAGTGCAGTGGCACGATTTCAGCTCATTGCAACCTCCATCTCCTGGGTTCAAGCGCTTCTCTTGCCTCAGCCTCCCAAGTAGCTGGGATTATAGGCATCCACCACCATGCCTGGCTAATTTTTGTATTTTTAATAGAGATGGGGTTTCACCATGTTGGCCAGTCTGGTCTTGAGCTCCTGACCTCAGATGATCCACCTTCCTTGGCTTCCCAAAGTGCTGAGATTACAGGCGTGAGCCACTGCACCCAACCCCATCTCCCCAACTTGGGGCTCATCTCTGCTGAGCACTGGAGGGTGAGCCTTAGATAAACTCCAAGTTTAGAGTCAGCTCCCATATAGCTCTTTAAGCCCTTAGCCAACGTGTTGAGTCTTGGCCTGGGAATCTGCCAAGTCTGCTGAAAACAAACAAGGCTGGTTTTTCTTTGCTTCTCAGAGAAGAGGTGATAGCTTTTCATGTGTATAGTGAGAAAGCATGAAGACCAGGCAGCTCTGGCAGCGACGTCCAGTGGAATTGGTTGGGTCATTTCCGCTGAGCTGTTCCATGTTTTAATTCTAAGGATTCCCAAAGTCCTTGCTTGGACTGGGGGATATAGCCCTTTAGCCCCCCCATACCAGAACGTGCGTAGGATATCCTAGGAACCCTCCCCCTCCCACCTCATGACACTGGTCCTCTCTACTTGTCCTTAAGCTGCACGTGTGTATATTTATTTCTTTGAGGAAGACTGGGTGGCAGGCACGTGTGTGTGTGTGTGTGTGTGTGTGTGTGTGTGTGTGTGTGTGTCTGGAACCACATAGCAAGCTAGAGACAGATTTCAGGCATCAAAATGCCCTTTTGGGCTGGGCATGGTGACTCACGTCTGTAGTCTCAGCAGGTCATCTGATACCAGCAGTTTGAGACCAGTGTGGCCAACATGGTAAAACCCTGTCTCTACTAAAAATACAAAAGTTAGCTAGACATGGTGGCACATGCCTGTAATCCCAGCTGCTCGGGAGGCCGAGGCAAGAGAATCTCTTGAACCTGAGAGGCGGAGGTTGCAGTGAGCTGAGATTGTACCACTGCACTCCAGCCTGAGTTAAAAAAAAAAAAAAAAGGGGGGGAAAGAAATAAAATCCCTTTTGTTTAGGTATTTAACCAGGTGAGAAACTAGGGATCAGAGAGAAAATGTGGGAAAAGAAAAATTACAGGCAGAAAGCTTTACCTGGCTGAAAATTATCCACAAATGATTTTCCTTCCCCTCAAAACACTGAGTCTCTCTCTCTCTCTCTCTCTCTATTATTATTTTTTCCCTGTGTTGCCCAGGCTGCTCTCCAAGTCCTAGCATCAAGTAGTCCCCCACCTCAGCCTCCCAAACTGCTGGGATTATGGGTGTGAGCCACCATGCCAGCCTAAATGTTGGGTCTTTCTTAATCTCTACAGCATAGTAGCTCCTTCAGGCCATGGGGACAGCTGGTGATTACAGTTTATGTTTTAGGCTTTTTTAAAATTATGAAGTAATTCATGCTTGCTATTTAAGGTCCTGAGCACACACATACACATAATTTTTAATATAAATGGAATCATGCCGCTTTTTCATTTAATTCATATTGCACTGTTTGTCAGCACATACAGATTTATCTCATTCTTTTTAATGGCTGCATGGGGTTTTGTAACTGTTGAACCAGGAATTATTTAATCCTCTGTTGATGGACATTATTCTGATTGTTTTTCACAGTTGAATAATACAGTTTAAAGGAGCAGTTTGTTTGTTTTGAGAAGGAATTTTGCTCTCGTTGCCCAGGGTGGAGTGCAGTGGTGCGATCTGAGCTCACTGCAACCTCTACCTCCTGGGTTCAACCGAATTCTCCAGCCTCAGC